TGCTTCTCTGGACTTCTATGGTGGTTTCTTCTCATTCTCTGGTGTTACTACCTCCTCCTCTTCCTCCTCCTCATCATCATCATGATCATCATCACCCATCCAAGTGTGGGTGTTTTCCAAGGTTCTGTCTTTGGTTATTTTGTGGTTGTTGTCATTATAGTTGCTACCATGGTGTTATTTTCACCCCCTACACTATCTTCGAATGTCACCTTTGCATCTACAAGTCTGATCATGAACTTTCTTCTGAGCCCTGGAATAATTTTTTGTCTTTCTACACAGGAAAGTCCAATTAGACAGGAAACTATTGTGATACACCTGGTTAGGATGCTAAGGATCTTCTCTAGGATATTAAGAATGGGGGAAAAATGGATAGAGTAAAAAATATTTAGCAAATAAAAAGGATTCAACTGGGTTGTGAACTGAAGAAGGAGCATCCCACAAGTTCAAGCTCAGGCTGGCCAACTGAATGACTTAGTGAAACCTTATCTCAAAATAAAAAATAAAAAGGGATATAGCTCAGTGGTGAACCACCCTAAGTTCAATTGCCTCTACTGAAAAAAAAAATCAGGACTCTGATGGATTTGTCTTTGAAAGAGAGGGAAGACAGAAAGGAATTAGAGATAGAAGGCAAAACTTATTCCAAATTTCATAGCTTGGGTAACATGGAGGATGCGTGCACCCTAATTGGAGTTAAAAAATTCATGGTAGTTTTGAAGGAGAAAAATAATGATTTCAATTTAGGGAATTAACAGTCCTCATCTCTCTGTCTTTTCAGTCTTCCTTTTTCGGTGCTACTAGAATTACTTTCCTAAACCAGAAGTCCGATCATACCATTCTCCCCTTTTTTATTAGCTTTTTTTTTTAAAGTGGAGAAGTTTCAATAGAAACAGAGTAGAGTTCAGCCTCCTTGATAAGAGAGCTGAAGCTCTACACAAACTGGCTTTGTTTGGTTTCATTGTAATCTTCCAGCAAAACGGAATCCACCAAGCAATTTCTCACCTTCTTGCCTTTGCTAAAGCTGTTCTCTCAATCTGGAGTGCTCTCCCCATTTTTATTGCCTACAAAAATCCTACTCATTCTTTAGATTACACTTTGTATGTTTTGTCTTCTGGAAATCTTCCTTTAACCCTGGTAAGAATTAGTATCTCTATTCATTATTTCCATAAGAATAGTTAGTGTAGTTTTACTGGTATTATCACAGATTTACTCATACACTTCTATTGGTTGGTAATTCTTTCAAGCTAGGAGATACATCTTAGCTATTTCCATTTCTTGCCAAGTGCTAGCGCACAACTTTCTACATATTAGTTGTTCAGGAAATAACAAATGAAAAGAAGAGGGAGACATGAGTCAAGTTTAGAGTAGATGGAGTCTAGGAAAGAGAAGTGGTTGGGAGGGTAGGCTTGGATTTACTTTAAAATAGTTTCTGGTGAGATGGGCACTTTGGGTTGTGAGGAAAAATATGGAGAGTAATGATGAGACAATGGATTCTGGGTAACATTAGGCGCTCATCCTTTAACACATATCCTGTGACATAAAATCATGCATGCACATGTTTAGCCTCTTATCCATAGGCAGACAAGACAAATTGTTAAATCCTTCATCAGCAGGAAATTCTTATTCTGCTCATTTAAAAAGATACATGGCCTCTCCGTGTAATGGAGACTCCTACATATTTAGCTACTGCTGTGGCTGTATCTATTGTCTGATGCCATAAAGCGATGGAACCTTGACTGATAGCATGGTTATGACCCAATGCTATGCCCATTTATTTAATTGTAGGAAAGATGGGCAAGGGTATATTCTGATTAATGAGATTTCTTTGACCCTTAATTATTCTTTTCATATGTTAGTCTCTTTCATCAACCTATTTTTATTTTCAGCAGCACAGGGAAGAATGAAAAATATTGTCTTGCAGTATGAATCCTAAAATAATAAAATTGATAGCTTTCCTTCTGTATGTTCACATGCATACATATTTTTATGCTTATAACTATGCTATATATAAATAGTATGCATTCTTTATTTATATGTGTATATATTCTATGTCCTTATGTGACCATATATCAGTCTATGTTTATTTCAATTTTCAATTAATAAAAAGACTTATCAGTTGTGTGTGTGTTAGAAATGGAAAGAGACAAAGAAGACCCGTATAATAAATATTTACACTTTTAATTAGCTGTTTCCCATGAAGGGCAGGTACTCCCTCTTCAGCCCTAGATATTTTAGGAGATATATGCAAAGAAAAAACAAAAAACGAAAACACCAGGCAAATGCAATCTTTCATTCCTAGCTGAGATATGCCCCCAGCCTAACTATTGGACTCCAATTAATAGTGAGTTGGGAACTGGGTCACCTGGGTCCTCTTGCTTGGGCTTGAGGCTGGACTTGGGATTTTGGGTGATGGCTTTGCTCCCTTGGCTCCAGCAGGATTCTTCTCTAACCCTTCCAAGTCAAAGAGGCTGTCTGCAGCAGAAGGCAGCCCACTTTCCCATCAAGTGACTTCTCCAAAGTCCTAGTAGAGTTCCATTTCATTAGAGAAATTCAGAAATGAACTCCAGGTCTGGGGATGAAGTGCATCATAGAATGCACAAGGCCTTGGGTTTAATCCCCAGCACTGCAAAAAAACAAAGAAACCCACACAACACCAAAAACAAAAATAAATAAGAGGATGTTAAAAAAAAAAAAAGAGCCCCTGCCATATGGATGAGAGAAACATTTCCTTCTTGTCCTGTACTAGCTTTTCCATTCCTTTGCACCAGGACTCAATACCTGGCTCTGCCTCCTTCTCAGGAATGAAGGATCTGTAGGAGGAGGAGACTGAGTGCATAGCTATGTCTGGAGACTGCAGTAATGGCAACACTCATGACAGAAGTGCTAATTATAGTGGACACCTCTTGTTCCCCACCTCACAAACTCACCTTCTTACTCCAGCCTTGCTATGGCAACCAGCTGTGCACAAGTATAACTGACAGCAAGCATCTCACTTAGGCTCATGCAGTCACCAAGTTGCTCATGCAGTCTGCACCATGGCTTCTCTGCCATCTGGAAGGGTAAGAGAGTCAACACCTCTGGGTTGACCCCACCCTCTTTCTTCTGTCTCTTGGGCTGTCTATAGTGAGGTTAACACAGCTCCTCCTGAGGGGCCTGGAGATGTTGCATCCCAGTTGTCTACAGCAACAACTAGCTCACTTGGAACTGGTTTTCCTTTCTTTCTTATTCCACTCTTATTTTGTTTCTCACTTTTATTCCTAGAACTGACTTCTAAAATAAATGATTGAGCATGAGCCCTGTTCTCAGGGCTCTATTTTTTTGCAAGAGCCCAGAGTATAGATAGATAAAGATAGATGATACATGACAGAGAACAGATAGATAACAGAGATAGATATGTACATATATATATATATATATGCATATACATATATATATGTATATAGGTAAATAAACAGATATAAAAAGAATATTGATTCAATAGGTAATAGAGATAAAAAGGTAGAAAGGCATACAGATAATAAAGATTTTTGTTATCTATGAAAGCCAGTCAAAACGGTTGCATGGAGAACATTCTAATAGAATTCTGCTGTTAAATGAGCCATAAAGGGATAGGGGCTCCATGGTCCTTTATAATGCATGCTATCAGATCTGTGGACTGCTAACCAGGAATTGCAGTTAAAATAAAAGCAAGAACTGAAACACCAAGTTGGGTGATGACATCTCACTATCTAGATAACTTTAAGATCTGGAAGATACTTAGCTTTCTGTGATGGTTGGGGTGGAGTGCAATATTCAGGCCAGAGGATCCCAGCCCAGTGGATGCTCTCTGCTTTACTTGTCTGACGATGGAGACAGGTCACCTACTTACACACAGGTCCCTGTGTGTCTAAACAGGTAGGAGCCCTTCCAGCTAATGGAAGGGTTAGGAGCTAACTTTCCTAATTGACTCAGAGTTCTTGAGATGAGTCTTTTAAAGTAAGTTGGTGAAAGATTATTTAGCACTTTTGTTTTCGGTACCAGGGATTGAACTTGGATCCTTGTGCTTGCAAGGCAGGCCACCGAACCGCTGAGCTAAATCCCCAGCCCTTATTTAGCACATTTTTTAGCACATTCTTTAATTATGCCAAAACAAAGTAGCTTTCATACCTGCTAAAGCATCTACTCTTCTGTAGGAAGCATTTGAAAAGTGGTAGGCAGAGAGCTAAGCAGTTACACTTGCACTAGTCACCTGGAGGAGTGGTAGGAAGTGGAAGGGGGCTGTTAGGGAGATGAAGGTGGGTAGGGCAAGACTGCCCTATCCCCATCTAGTTCTCTCCTAACTCATCTACACAGTAGCTACACACACAGGTTGGGAAGATATATTTACTCTCAAGATGACTCAGATATTCTAAGCCTGGTGACTTAGCTTTAATAAAAGGAAAAAAAATCAGACCTTTCAAACTCTAAAGTGGGCAAGAAAATATTCTTAGTCATTTTTTTCTCCTCTCAAGCCTATCATGGCTTAAAAACACTGAGAAATCATTTTTTGTTATAATTCTTTTGTAGATTTTGCCTTGCAATGACTTCTGCTTCAAAAAATTGCCTTTTTTTTCTTTAGAGTCATAATCTTTTATTAAATGTTGTGCTGGATAGAGAGGGGTATTAAGATCATCTAGTTCAACTTTTTTTGAGATGCTTAATGGTGCGTCATCACTACACCTTTGTTTGTGTCTGAGCCAGGCTTTAACTTCACTGCAATGTCCCTTTTGATTAAGAAACATTATATATAATCATATATTCTTACTAAATGGGTGGGGCATCAGCAAGGACTGGTGTGGGGGAATTAATTTTGCAGTGTGAATTGAAGTCAATTCTCTGCTTCAAGTTTGCAATTCTACTGAAAACTAAGAATTACCTAATACTTAACTGTACGACAAAAGAATTCCAAGGGAACACAAATCGGTTTCCCTTTTCCATTTTTCAAATCCCATTGTGATCAAGATTTGCATTTCCCTGTTTTGCAGATTCAGCCCTACAAAAGAAATTATGAGTGAGAGATCTACTACCTCATAAAGAAGAGTAAGTTTTGATTAACAACCCAAGACTACCCAGACCTTGGATGGGGAAGAAAGATGGATCTCTCAGTCCCTGGGAGTTATTACATTTACCCCACAACTTCCTTTCTGGGCATTTGCTTGTTTGGTTAATCATCACTACTCACAAAATAAACGCCATTTTGTGTGGGACTCTTTTCTTCTGAGTGAATGCTGTAAGAATGTTGACTGGTATTTTTGTGAATATTTGTAATTGGTGGCTCCTTAGGGTGGCTCCTGTGCTTTGAAGGGCACCCTTTATCTTGTGATTTTATTCACAGGTCCCTAAAGTGCTGTTGGGAAAGATTCAAAGATTCTTTTACATTCTGTGTCTTCTGGAGGCCCAGATGAAGTTGCCAACATTTTTGGCACCAGGGACTGGTTTCATGGAAAACAATTTTTCTGTGGACCAAAAGGGAAAATATTTTGTTTCTTTTTTTTCAAATCAGTGTATGTTTGAGATGCATAATATTTCCCAGTGCTAGCATCACTGCCTCAGCTCCACCTCAGATCATCAGGCATCAGTCTCATAAGGAGCATACAATCTAGATCTCCTTCATGTGCAATTCATGGTAGGATTTGTACTTCTATGAGAATCTAATGCTGCTGCTTATCTGACAGGAGGCAGGGCTCAGGTGGTAATACGAGTGATGGGAGGCAGCTATGAAACAAATGAAGCTTCCCTTGCTCACCTGCTACTGACTTTCTGCTGTGCAGCCTAGTTCCTAACAGGCCATGAACAAATCCTGGTCCACAGCCTGGGAGATGTGAACCATTGCCTTAGTGGCTGTACCCCTCCTTCTTGCCTATCCTTTTTTTTTTTTTTTTTTCTGGTACTAGGGATTGTACTCAGGACCTTGCATTTGTGAGGCAGGCAGTGGCACCACTGAGCTAAATCTCCAGCCTTCTCCTATCCTTTTATATGGACTGAGCTTCTTTTGGCTTTCCTTCCTTTCCATGGGCCAAAAGCAATGAAGGACCTTGAGGTAAATACCTTCCCCTTTATATTGTTCATCTTAGCCACCTCTCCCATGAATGTTCTGATGTGATGCTTCTGACTTGGGGAAGGAGATACAGTTACTCATCAAGCCTTGATAGTTATCCTTGTGCCCCTGTGACCACAGCTATGGCTCTGTTAAGTGGTCAGGCATTTCATGGCTACCAAATGTACAACCAACAACAAACACATTATAGAAAACGTCATTGAGTCTTGGCTAAAAATATGTAGCATGACAGTAAAAAACATCTGTGAGCTTAGATTAGAAATCAGTCAAGGGCTTGGAGATGCTCAGGTTCAACAGAGAAAATACATCTCTCGCCATAAATGGCTGTGCTCCTGGACCATTCCTCAGTTATCAGAACCCCATTTTGCGGAAAAAGTACCTCTAGATTGATCATTATCTTCTTTACATTGATGGATATCCTCAGTCACAGGGAACATGTGAGGTAGCTTTAGAATCTAAGGAAAAATGGTGCCCCCCGCAAAGATGACGTTGATGGTGTCATCCATGGCTGTCATTCTAGCAAAAATCAAAGAAGTCTGGTTTATTTGTAATATTTTTAATAAGTACAAGCCACCCCCCCAAAAGGTTGGTATTTGAACTTGAGAAAAAATGTTTCAATCATCTAAAAAATAGTTACTGAATGAAAAAACTAAAGACAAAGTAGTGTCTGATCAGTGACCCGTCATTTGCAAAATGACTTCTACATTATCTCATTTTTAAAAAACTAAATTTGATCATTTTAAATGTTAGAGTGAAGTGGTTCACCATTTCTTGAAATAAGCAAAGGACATTATATTTATAAGCATGTGAGTTGTGAGCCAGACCAGACATTCTCATCTGTTGCTTTATATATTTTTATCAGTCATCACAGATTTATGGGGAAGGTTCAAATGGACAGAATTTTCAAATAGATTTTAAAAATACGTTTTTGTTTTAACTTACCAGTATACTTTTCATCCTCCTACCCTCCATTTTGGTCTGTTTCTTTCTCTGGTACCTTGTTTCTAATGGTGAACGATTACTACTTGCATTTGGATAGATTATTATTTAGCTTGCAAAACATATCATTTTCCCCTCATTAAAATATCCTAGTTGCCCAACTTCATTAAGATAAATGGAATTATTCATGTTTTTTTTCCCCTTCCTTTGGCTGTGAGGCCAATAAACTCACGTTAAGCAGGAGAGGGTAAAGCTGCTGAACGCTTCTAAATGTCACTAAATAATTTCAGGAAGGAGCTGCCATTACAACTACAGCTGCATAAAACATGCATTTTGTAACAGCTCTAACTAGGAGGTCCACTAGCCTGATTAAAATACACTGAGGAGTAAAAAACAGAACAGAGGAAACAAAACCTTCAGATTAATAAATAGACAAGGATGGCAACCAAGGGGGAGAAAAAAAAAAACAAGAGTATAGCCAACCTTTTTTTTTTTTTTAATTAGAGTATATTATACTTTCAAACTGGATACACTAGAAATTGGCAATGCAACATAAGATGCAAAGGAATATACCAGTTACTGTCAAAATGACCCTGTACAGCCTTGTAATGCAAAAAGCTTTATACAATACAAATTTTCAGTAATGTACACAAACCTTGACAGTATGGTCATCTGAACATAATATGAGGAGTTAAAAAAAAAAAAGGATAAATGAAAGTGCTGAGAACCCTACCTGCATTACTATTCGGGAAAATAAGCTAGCTTTCATGGAAGGACGCATAGTGAAAACAACTGACGTTAGTTGGTAGGTGAATTTCTCAAAGATGTTAGTGTTTTACGCGGAAAGGATATCTATCGACTACATCCTTCCCTGAGTATCAAACTGCAAACCAAGTTTGGGGGTATATAATATCTAGGTGGAGTCTGAAAAATGCTGTAGATTTTTCTTTATTAATAACAATAATAATATAAAAAGTCAAACAAACTCCAAACACACCTTTTCTCACTCAGAAAACTTTTATAATTTACCAGAAAGATTGATGACTCTTTCCAAAGTGCTAAAAAAGTTGCCCAATTATATTAAGCATTACTAAGTCATTCAAATACAAGTTCAGTGGTGAGCAGTGAAATGCGTGGCACTCGAGCACTCAGTCTCCTTCCACCACCCCTCACTCCTGAAGGTTTCCATCCTTAGCGCTCCTATTGCACAAGTGGCACACTAAAAAACACCCCGAGTCCACGCTGTCAGGGCCACTCTTTCAGGTTTTTAACCTGCGGTGCATAAATGTCATTCACTTTTTCTCCCAGCCTTGGTGGGATCATCAGGGCCCTCTTGTCATCACTGAACTTGTAGTTTTGAAAACACATCATTAGCCAAGTGGCACATTCTCCATTATATGGGGATAAAGACATGACTTTAGAAAGAACCAACCCACCCACAAGCCCAGTGTTCTTGGAGTATACTCTCCATGACTGTTGATAGTGTCTGTTACCGAGACATTGATGTAGTGAGCTGAGTAATGTTTCAAACAAGGCCAAGAGTAAAGGTCTTCGCTGGAGACCGACCGAGAGTTTGGGGCTTCTGGCCTTAACTGGTTGGTCTCCCTGCCCCTGATGGGCATCTCCGTAGTGTAAACAGGTTTGTCAGGGGGTGGGGCAGGCTCCCAATCCATGGCTGGATGCCTGGCAGAGAGAAGTGCAGCCCACAGGCTAGGTTTGGGGGAAGAAGGGCTGCTATAGCAGGGAATGGGGAGGCCTTGGTGTGCACAGGCATACAGTCTTCTAGCTTCCTGTAGAACTATACTAATTTCCAGGGGGCTTTTAGTGAAGCAAACTGACTAGAGGAGGAAAATTAGGGATGGTTTTATTTCCCTCTCGGTGAAACATTTTAAAAAATCCCAAGTCTAGGATAACACATGGTGGGAAAATAGCAACACAATAAGGAAGCAAGCGTTCCTCCTGTACACCAGCTCTTCAACAGATAAATAATACATAAACTTTCATATTCCAAACTCCCCATTATTATACAAAGCACATTTCTTCCTGCTCTTTCAGCCTGTTTCATCCTGGAAATTCTGTTGTCTTAAAAACACAAGCAATGAACAAGTTCAGCCAAAGATTTTTTTTTTCCTTTTAAAATTATCCATTCCTTTTTTAAGATGAGCGGAGGGCTATGCAACGGATTCGCACCTGCTTCCTGCTGCAATAAAGTGCTGCACATAAATTGCCATTTTAATGACCACAAAATAAGAGCTTTAAATAAGTATAAAGTTAGCCTCCTAGCAGGTTACATCTACCAGGCGTTAACAAAATGGAATACAGAATTACTAATAACATGGAGGATACTGCTACAGCCAGAGGATATGCAAACACAATGAGAACTTCTCAGGGGCTTAACTGAACCATATGACAAAACAGCACCTTTTTATTGTGTCATCATATGTCAAAGAGGTTGTGGCTAGAGTTTCAAACATACAGTCTACTCATTCCATAGAAAGGTACATTTTCTTCCTTTTATTTTACTTTTTTTTTCCCAATGAGAAATAAAAATTAGTGCAAGACCAAAGCACTGTGCAAAACTGCCTTCTTATTTTTTTTTTTTTTTAGTCTGAGCATTTATACCCAGAATTTATCCAAACCCCTTTTAATCTCCTTGGCTGGATTTATCAACCATAGTATTTACCACTCATACAACTTTTTTTTCCTGCAAACAAATGGTAACCACTGAAGTAATACACCATATATATATATATATGATCTGCCCTTAAAAAATGATGCACTGTCTGTGTGTGCGTGCGCCATACACAGTGTCTGTATGGGCACATGTACAAAACACGTAAGTTTTGTGATGTCAACTGCAGTGCTGCGAGATATTTCTTGCAGATTGGTCACTTGATTCCTCGCATCTTCATAACCAGGGACAATACGAGCTCAAGGTCTCCCACACTCTGCTGGAAATCTCCAGCAGCACGGCAGCTGTCTACCAGGCACCAGGCCCTACCACTCTGTGGCCGTAAAACAGAGAGGGACAGGTGGTGAAGGGGCTTGGGAGAGACTGTAGTGGGATGAACAACCCAGGAGGGAAAAAGAAAATGTTCATCGTTGTGAAAGAAGCCAGTACAGAGAATGTGCAATCGAAATGTCATGGCACACGACACATGGCTTTCTCGTTCGGAATCCACAGACGTCCACACACCCCATTC